AGCGAAGTTGTACCGATGCCTTTTTGTATTGCATTCATAGGGCGTGCATGCGGAGCCACAGGAAAAAAAGATATGGGATGCCTATCTGTATTTTGCGGACGAACGGGTTTAATATTCGCCTTTTCAGAGTTTTCTGACGCGCACGTCATAGCCAAGGATATAGTTGTTTTATTTTAGTATCTGCGCTGTCGCTTCATATCGTTTTTCTTTAAAGGTTCATTATGAATGTTTTTATTGGGAGCACATTTGTTGGTTACAGAGACTTCTGCGTTTGACATTTTGCCTATTCAAAGCCTTCTGACGCGCTCGGCATATTATTGAACACTGTAAATATCAAGGACACATCTTCTTTATTGCAATATCCTCCCTCTCGCTTCGTACATTTTTTTCTCGTGGTTCTATATGAACGCGTTTCTATTTTGACAACAAATTTGTATCGCTTCATAAGATACTGTTTTTATTACCAGAAGCCGTTTCAGTTCGCTGGTGATGCAACGCCGGTTCATATCGATTGACGATGTTCACGACTATGCTGGACTTTCTTGTACAATATTGTGATGACATTTTTATTTTGTTCCATTTTAAAGAGAATTTGGTGCCTTCCCGTTTGTATGGAAATGCAAAGTTCCATATTCATGAGCAAAACTGTGATGTCACCTCAAAACCAAACATTGTCATCCTGAAATGACATTACAACAACAACGCTCTCAGCATTGAAACTTTCAAATGTTCAAAAAATTGCACTTTGCAATAAGATTAACCCAAAAAGGATGTCAAATATAATTTTTTTCACACAGTTAGGAATAGTAGAAAGTTGCACAAAATGTGCTCCTTGGAAAAATGTATTTCACGGACTCTTTAATTAGTAAGATGGGTGTGCATCTACGGATTGAATGCATCAGGTATGATTTACGCCGAGAAAATTTAGAGTTTTACATGGAAGAAGTCTTAAAATATGCTTCACACAAAATGTGAAATATGTTTGCCCATTAATGAAAATATATGCCCGATCAACCCCTTACTGCTGGTTCAGACGAAATTGAATGAACAACGGGAAAGTTTTATTTTGAATGCATCTTTTATAGGGACAAGTGAAGCTAAGAGACGACATAATGCTCGGACAGTGAAATTGAATGATTCTTTTTGATTGTCGAATGACGATCTGCGTGATCTTTCAATTGCAATTGGCCGAGAAAACATTAACGAATGCAATATTACCAAATTTAAAATGTATTCGTAAGTATCAGTTACAATAAACACAATTTGCTATCCAACATAAAATCTACTTGTACTCCATCGACGTGTTATTTGATAATTTCACAAGTCATGATCTATAATATCACATACATTGGGAATTCAGATGTGTCTCAAGTTTTTATCGCGCCGTGTACACGGTTGGGGGTGGGCGATTGCTAAATCACCTTTGGTGTGTGGTTACTTTATTGGGTGATATATGGGTCATATGCATGTCACATCAAAACGTTGAGCTAAGAGCCTGGTGAACTAATAATGCATACTTGAAAAGGATAAACAATGGATTGTGCAGATCGTCAAAATGCCCAATGTATAACGGAAGGCGAAGTTGTACCGATGCCTTTTTGTATTGCATTCATAGGGCGTGCATGCGGAGCCACGGGGAAAAAAGATATGGGACGCCTATCTGTATTTGCAGATGAACGCGTTTAATATTCGCCTTTTCAGAGTTTTCTGACGCGCTCGCCATATTCTACTATGAACACTGTAAATATCAAGGACATAGTTGTTTTATTTTAGTATCTGCGCTGTCGCTTTATACCGTTTTTTTTCTAAAGGTTCATTATGAATATATTTATTGGGAGCAGGTTTGTTGGCTACAGAGAATTCAGCGTTTGACATTTTGCCTATTCAAAGCCTTCTGACGCGCTCGGCATATTATTGAACACTGTAAAATATCAAGGACACAGCTTCTTTATTGCAATATCCTCCCTCTCGTCTCGTACAATTTTTCGCGTGGTTCAATATGAACGCGTCTCTATATTGGCAAATTGTATCGCTACATTAGGTACTGTTTTTTATTACCAAACCGTATCAGTTCGCTGGTTCGCTGGCGAAGCCACGCCAGTTCATATCGATTGATGATGTTCACGACTATGCTGGGCTTTATTGTAAAGGAACTGCAATAACCAGGGAGTTATTGCTTGCCATCACACCGCTTTCAGCATTTGCTCCGCCCACGCTGTAAACTTTCAGACATTTTGCGCCCTTCTACCCAAGTTCAGATTGGCTAGGATACCTTGACGTCAGCCTGTTCCGTGGTCTGCGGCTGCTTGTAATAATTAGCTGCTGAGGCAAGCTAGCTCTATGGTGGTTTGTGTACTCCGTGACGATCATTGCATGAGAAAGGTTTCTGAGCTAGAGCCTATGCATAGGCTTTTTTCTGATCGTCGTAGCGTAGCTGCCTGTTAAGTAGCGTATGTGTGGTGCGTGAGTCGCTGACTAATACAGGCATCTTAAGATTACCAATCCTTGCTCGAACCAGAGAAACGTTTAGGCAAGCTTGAAGTGGTGGCTCTTACCCGATTGTTGTTAGTGGTATGCATGCCTAGATGCCTTTGCCCCAAATTTCAGATGCATCGTGGGGAATGGAGAAAGCATCAGCGTTGGTTCCGACGCTGTCAGCAGTGGCAGGTAAAGTTAACATATTTCACCTGTGGTACATCGTGAAGCATGTGACTGGTTTTTTGAAGCATGAGCGGACAAGCTTTATAGTCGTATCAGGTTCGGGGATACAAAGTACATCCTAACCATTGATTCCTCAAATGCAAAACCTCCAATGGCAATACAAGATCGCTTTTGAATTTGATGAATGGTCAGTCGGTTTTAACGGTTACGAACATTATCTGGAGATGTCTGTACTTACCGTGGCAAACGATTTATATAAAATTGATTTTCATGTAAATTATAGGCATTGTGAAAAAAAATCAAGACTTGAGCTATGTCTGTTCAAACTGCTTTTTCGCATTTTATAAATGTTTATTGCAATGTTTGTCAATTGCAGTTTTTTAGAGTATTTAAATACAGTTAAAGGTTGTTCTCAATGCTTAGAATTTTTCCAAAAATAAAGTTTATCACATGACATCACATGCCCTGCGATGACGTCATCTTAAAAACCCTTCTCAGTGCACATTTTGTCATTGTGGTTTTGGTTTGAACCAAATGTACAGTCAATCCGATGAAAGGAAGTGTACAATTTTGGAAGCTGAATAGAATTTCAAATATTAAAAAAATGATAACAAAATCGAACAATGACGTCTTCGTGTTTTGACGTCTTCAATGACGTCTTCGTGACAATTCGGAATTGCATACTAGTACCATTATCCACCTACCCACCAAGTTTCATGACGATTGGACTTTCCTTATATGTGTTTTGAAGAATCGCACTTTTTTTTTAAATCATGATGACGTCACACATTTTTCACAATTTTGTGCAAATACCTATTACCTAACGAACCAATTACAAAAAGAATTTCGAATTTTGCATGTTGCGTTCTTGAGTTATGGCTAAAAGGTCCAAAAATTTTAATATTCATGTAAAATTGCATGATGACGTCATCATAGCGTCACCGCATTTGTTTACCTATAACCCATCGCGGTTTACTTACATACCAAGTTTCAACCCAATCGGACTTAACAGTCCTATAGATATATGACTTCAAAATATGCACGTTTGTGATGACGTTACGTGACCCATGATGACGTAATCATAACGTTACTCTTCAAGACACAACTTTCTATAAGGACAATGCATATGCTGACTTTGAATGATTTATTACAAAAATGAATGCCCAAAATGCGTGATTTTTGGCGACAAAAAGAAAGAAGAAACTAGAGCTGTATGTCTGTTTGAAAACAGAACACAGGGCTTTTTCGCATTTTACAAATGTTTATGTTTTGTTAGTCCTTTTGCAGTCACTTTTTAGAGTGCTTCATGCAGTTAAAGGTTGTTCAATATGCTTAGAATAATTCTTTAAATAACATTTTATCACATGACGCCACATGCCCTGCAATCTTAACAACACTTGTCAATGCACAATTTGTCAGTGTGGTCTTTGTTTGTACCAAGTTTGAAGTCAATCTGATGAAAGGAAGTGTACATTTTTGGAAGCGGAATAAAATTTTAATTTTAAAGCAGAATAAAACGTCACCCTTTTTTATTTCAAATTTGTGTGCATATACCTATTACCTAACAAATCAAATACAAAAATAATTTCGAATTTAACAGTTTGCGTTCCTTTGATATGGCTTGAAGGTCCAAAAAATCAAAAATTCATATAACATCGCACGATGAGGTCATCATGACGTCACCTTAATGTTTTTATCTATAACACTTCCCGGTCTACCCGCATACCAAGTTTCAACCCAATCAAACGTACAGTTCTGTAGATATAGGACTTCACAATATGCACGTTTGTGATGACGTCACGCGATCCATGATGACGTCATCACGACGTCATGCTTTGGCATACATCTTGCTATAACGACTATGCAGGTGTTAACTTTCAATGATGTATGCACAAGATGAATGCCAAAAGTGGCGTGTAGAGAAATCGTGTACAAAGTTTTTGGCGTTTTTGCGTGAAACAAAAAGAAGAAAGAAAAAAAATCAGAACAAAAAGAAATGCTTTTTCGCCAATTTTGCGAAAAAGCCATATAGTGTTCGGCCGCTACATCCTTTACCAGGTTTTTACCATGTAAATGAAAATCTGCTAGCTATAATAAACTAACAGAATACGTCTGATTAATCCCATCCGGAATAGAAAAAAAAACATTGCGCCACCATTCTAATGTTTATGTGATTTAGTATAGTTTTTGTAAAATTTAATGTAGGTGTTATTTGGTTTGGGTAAAAGTCCTTTGTATTGACCCCAATTTACCCAAAACCAAAGAGCGCCCTCCTAGTTTGTCTTCACTTGAACGGACTCATGATGTCATTTTTCCCCATGCATACTTACATTACAGTGATGGTCTCGTGCCATCAAGTCTGCTTCTTCGGATCGGAGTACAACCCACAATCTGGTATCCCAGTCAATTGGTTCTTACCGTACAAAGATCCGTGCAACTGCACTGCTATACGTCTCGGAGGGATGAGCATCTCTGCCTCGTCATCCCACCAGGGGGCGCCCTACTATCTGAATGATTTTTTTCTGAGTGAGGATTGTGACGAAATTCATGCTCACTTCAACTGTACACCTGCAGAGAAAGATCCAGGTAATAACATTTACAAAACAAATAATTAAGACTGTTTTATTTTTTGTTCTTCAATAAAATTATATATTACATTTAAGCCTGACTATCAATCCACTCCTTTTTACCCCATTCCATTTGGGTCCCGAGATCCAGAAATACAATCAGTTAAGTGAATGAGTGTGCATTTTATTTGGCCACTCTCACCTGTGATGTCACCAACTTCAATGCCTATTCAAAGCATATCCTGGTGAGAGTGGCCCTAGTAAAATTGATTGTATTTTTTTATCTAGGGAGCGAATGGAGTGGGGTTAAAAGAAAATAGCCAGGTTTTAATGTAACATATAACTTAATTGATGAAACAAACAGTTTTAATTATTTGTTTTCTGAATGTTGCATTTTGTTTTGGCACACTCTGTACTATCCTGGTGAAACTTTTAATTATACTTTGGAATTTATTCGTTGTTTCCAACCAATTCGATTTTTTTTCCAGCCCCAAATAAATATTTACAAATGTATACACCGATTGCTTACTATCATGGAGATTTCAGACGATATTATAAGTATCAAAATTAAAGCATTATTTTTTACCAGCAGAGTGCGCGAGTCACGCCTTGGGCATGGAAGACGGGACGATCCCTGACGATCGCATCAAGGCCTCCAGTGAAATCTACACGGACTGTTGTCCTGCCGTTTACGCACGCCTCAACAGTAACAAGAGATGGATACCCTCCAAGTAAGTATCAAAGGAAAATACCACATCTGAACTTCAATTTCATATCATCATTTACACTGTATTATAAAAATGCCACTATAACGCTCCTAAATATGTTTAATTAATGAACATCTACTTGCGCCAATACAATTTGTTCCATTATTTTGAATGTTTAATTATAACGAAAAAAATATTCCCGACCAAAGCCCAACTAGGACGCGCAAATGAACTTCACACTGTAAGTAGTTTTAATAACTGTGATGGATTCGTAGAGTTTTGTTATTTCATTGTTTGTCTCTTCACTCTGTGTACAGTACCGATGCCAATCCCTGGATCGAGGTGGACCTCATTGGGAGTACAGTGGTGATAGGTGTCATCACACAAGGCTGGATGCCACCCTCATCAGATCCTCAGTATGTGGCGCAGTACAAGGTGTCCTATCAGAAGCAACCCTCGTCTGACTATGATCACGTGGCGGATAGAAACGGAAACATCAAGGTAAATATTAACCTTAACTACAGGCTTTTATTTATCTTCAGCATTCAAGAAAGTCGAAATTGTTTTATTTGCCCGAGTGTTTGTTGACCCTGTGTAACGTCACTTCATTCAGCTTGTTCGGCTTTTGGTCCCATGCTAATGCAAACTACGAGAACCATTCTGAAATTGTGCCCGATTTTAATAAACAATGCATAAGCCAATCAAAGTCTGCTACATCCTCTTCTTTTAGGTTAAGTATGAAGCTTTTGTTAAATACAAATGAAAGTTTGTCAACGACAAAATGTTGTTACTAGTTGAAATAAAGCCCAATAAATGCCATTTAATAAATTAAGTGTAAACATGAGCCCTCGTTCGTGCAATTTTTGTGTGCAGTTTGTTCAAATTCTGGTTAAGAACAGCAGCTCTATATTTGTTATAAATTCCCTTTTTTGACGTTTGATTTTTATATACAGTGGAATGTAAACGTTTTCGTTTCAGGTGTTCATCGGTAACACTGACGACCACACCCCGGTCACTAACCTGTTTGATGAGAGTGTGGTGGTGACGGTAGTGCGCATTGAGCCTACTGAATGGCAGAATTTGTGTTCTTTGCGATTGGAGCTGCTTGGGTGTCGCCATGATTAATTCACCTGAAGCATTCATGTGATTCTGTTCGAAATAAGTATGAGATACTACATTTAAAAGAGTTATTTTTATCTGAAGCAAGAACGAAATGGAGATTTGGAATATACGCTATGGGGTTGTGCGTAAATGTATGCATTTAACTAAACTGTATCTCGCGAAAAAAAGGAACCGGGTAATGTTTACCATTCACATTTCTTAAAATTGATAAACCTCTTATCGCCTCTTCTATCTCCCTTGGACGATAGAAATTCACAAAGTATTAACTAAATATATAATTCAAAAGGTGTTTATAAAACACGAAAGCAGAGTAGGCCTGGTACGTGTTAAAAACATCGGCACGTGTATCTTTTGAAGCCTGTTTTCCTTTTTGTAATATGTTTTTGTTTTAAATAGAAACTTTATTACGGCACACTGTTGAATAGCTTATTACTATTTAAGATGCCCATTTTGTAGTAAGATGTCACGCCAATTCATGTTTTAGTTACATCTTGTATCCCTTCTATCAGTTAATTTGTTACATTATATATTTTACAGTTGCCAAGATTGCGGGGAAAAAATCAACCTCAGAGGAATATTTGATATATCATTTAAAGTATCCTAATAATTTGAATGACCAAACGATGAAAAGGGATTGCCCAGAATCTCAACAAGAAAAACAAGAAGTATATGGTAATACGTTATATGCGCGCAGACGTTAGCTAATTTGAATGAACAATGAAAAAAAAGAAACCCCAATTGGACCACATATGTACAAATCACGCGAATTTGAATGGCTGGTAATGGAAATTATTAGACTCATTCAGAAAATGGCCGGGAAAATCTGTTGTTTGGTAGGTTTATCACTTGATACCGAGTTGCCAAAGCGACGAGCTATGAGGCAACTATTTTGATTTTCTTGAGTGAAAAAAATCACAATATGACTATTTTACGATTTCGATTCAAATGTTAAGCTTTTCAATCATGTTCCAATTTGTGAATTTAAAAATTGAATTAAACTTAAAGACGAATTCGGTTCTGCTTGTTTAATTTTTGCTTGATTTTCTGCATTGAGACAAAAGTAGTGCGCATGGCATTTAAGTGGACAGAGTGGGAAAATGTTCCGGTCCTTGTCAATTTTCTTGTAGAAAATACAAGTCATTTTGACTTTCTTTTTTTAACTCCACAATGCGAATGCTCACCACTCTTTCTGTGAAAAGATTTTAAAGCAAATCTGACTCATTCTGACGAATCTTAAGAAATAGTGACCAAAGCGGGAGCAAAGAAATGTCAAAAAATTGCCAAATACATTTCGTTGACACTCTCAGTTACCACCCTGGTGTTTCCGGGTATAAAATAGGATTTATGGACTTCCGTTACTCCAACTCAAAATGGATACTCATCTAACCAAAACAACCAATCTCCATTTGGGTTCACGAGTCCTAAAATTGAACACATTGTATGTTATTTATATTTTGTATTTAATTGAGTATTTGCAGTTTTATCTCCCGTGCCGTGTTTTAAACTAGCCAGCAGGTCGGCGGCTGAAGCAAACGTATATCAATACGGAAACAGCACGTTGGCACTGAACAAAAATTGCCTCAAAATACGGGCTGTTTTTAGAAATGCGTCACCTCGATTTCCACTAATCTTGGTGCAATCCAAGCCTCGATGAATCACTTTGGAAACAACATTACAGAAAACAGCAGGACGGTTGTAGATTTGTGTACAAACACCTTAAGTTTCATGGGCAAAAAATATTGCTTTTTCAGGTCAGAGGTGGAATCAGGAAAGACGCGACGCCAAACTATCGGGGCTTTCTACATATACGCGGAAGAAATTACCAACAGTGACCGCCAGTTATTCTTGCGTTCAGCGTGTGACTTAATCGTAACCAACCATATCAGGGATCTTCTCAAAGTTCTCAAGGTGTCCACTCGTCCATAAACCTGATTAACCTGGCACATATGCGAAGCCAGCGGCTGTAATGTAAAGAGTGCCCCTTTTCATTCAAATGCCCTTTTGTTATTACCGCTTATCCCCCCTCCATAATTTGTAAAGAGTGCCTTTACTTGTAAGAAGTGCCCTATTTAAAAAGAGAAGTGTTGTCCTTTTTTGTGCCATATGCCGTTCCGGGTGCCTTTTTTGTAATTTCGCGCCCGTATTTGCCTGAAAACCACTATTATATTGTCCGTTAGTGTGCACAATTGTCGGTTTTGAACACCGCCTCCATCAGACAGATGGTACAAGCCCCCCTCCCCCCTCCCGCCGCTTTTTGATTTTACGGAGGCGAAGTCAGACAAAAACGTGTCAACATTTCACCACGGGTGTGCAAGTTCCCTTTTTAAAAACAAATTACTCCCCCCCCCAATATAAATGACCGTGCTACGCCACTGTGCCATGAGTTGATAATTCATTGCTTGCATTTCAAAAACCTTGAAACTCAATGACGAATTTGTGCATCAAGTATACACTCGGATCTGACGATTTTGAATCTAACCAGCGTTGTCTAGGGGGGTTCCAAACTCGATGTCGTCTCCATGTCCGCTTCACCAGCTATTTGGGCTCAAAACTTGAAGATTCAAGCTCCACATAAGTCAATGGTTCTCTTATCAAACTGTGTATAAAGCCAGTTTAAAGAAAATGAATGCTTATTTTACCAGCGGCCGTTTCGAATGCCTTCTGTTTGTGGAATATCGCAAGTGTGCCGCCCTGAAAGCGACGTCCATTTTCCGATATTGTCCGTGATTGGAAGATGGTACCATCCCCCTCCCCCAAACCACACACATACAAGCATGTATTTACCTGCAATTGGGGACCCATAATGTCCCTCTTTTATTTGCACTTTAACGTTTTTAGTAAGACATCCCAGATGTTTTGTACGCGAGTCCAAATTGGGGACCTCTTGGGAATAGGGGACCAGACTGCCATATTATATTGTTCAGCGTCCCCCATACAGAGGCAAAGTGTCCGGGAAAAAAACTCTCTACATTTCTGCACCGATGTGCAAGTGCCCTTTTCAAGAACCACCCCCTCCGATAACAATGACCTTGCTACACCTCTGATCAGACGCATTTGCCTACATGGCCGTTTCCTCTTCACCTCCCCCTCCCCAATATTTTCATCATTTTCTTCAATAACAGTCGCCATTGTTTGTGCGTACCAGATGGGTTACGCCAAAGGTTACCTTACACTGTGATAAAAGAATACAAAGACGCTCTGTATTATTCATGTGGCCTTCACGCTTCAGTGAGCAATTGACACTTTGGTCAATGCGACTTTGTAAGTTCATTTATTTATCTCGATGGTAGGCAAGGTCAGGCTGCAAGCAATTAGTTAATGGTTGTGTCTTCTTTTGTGTATTTTCCTTGAGTAACTGCATTAAAAATGAAAGCCGTCCACTTAATGATCCTATATATCGCTTGCAATTATGCATACGACCGTAACGGCCTCACCAGAATATAATTAAGAATGAAACGCTGGCTAACGTTGCCTAGTTTTAAGACTTAAATTTGCATTGGCATTATTTTTAAATATATATATTTTTTAAACTCTTGATATTTGAGACGTTGCTTTTTGAGTTTGATATTGTATTTCTTAAAATCAACTACACTTTAAACGAGCTACACCTAAGAATGGTTGTTTGATTTTTAATCGCGTTTTCTGTCGGTCAACAAAACAGCCGAGAGTTACTATTTAACTGGAACCTGCTACACGACTATATCACATTCTGTATTTTGCATTGTTGGCATATTCTACACTTCAATCGTCATATCCACCTATACCTTATGTTTTAAATAAGGGAATAAATGTGTGCTCCGGAGGTTTTTATCACTCTGTTAAAGACCGCTTAGAGTCTGGGTGCTGATAATTACTCGAGCCGGAGGCGAGGGTAGATAGATACCTTTTCGGTAAACAAAAATCAAATAATTCGTTCAAAAAATCCCGATTTTGTTCAACAAGTTCACTTCATGCTTTTTGAAACATCCCTCTAGCAAAATAATGGAGTGTTCAGCTGGCGAGTAAGATGTAAACAACCCTTTCATGGAGATTGACGCGCGCGTAGCATGTTCTGCGCGATGTCGCGCAGAACGCACCTGGGGCGTTGCGTTTTGAATGTAGAACTATAAAATTCTGACTCGCTTGTAGTGTTGCGCATGCCTACGTGAGGAATGTGAACGTTCAACCAATGAAACGGTAAGAGGCACTGGATTTTTAGAAGTCCACATTTTATTGTGACACTGGAAAAGAGTTTAAGACCAGCTAGCCATGTCTATATCATCCGTTTAAGACCGGTCACGTGACGGGCTCTTGACCAATAGGAATAGCTTAACTCACTGAGGTATTTATGAATCAAACATCAAGGGTGAAAATGTAAGTGTTTCGCATACTTACTCAGGCAACCAAACTTCTTCCAAGGGGCCTTGAATCAAATCATTCAAAGTGAATTAAAAACTGAATTTTGTAATATCTGTCGATACAAGGCTCTAGGGCATAGGTTCGCGTGCACATTGTGGTGAAAGGATATAAAGGGAAAATATGAGGGAGTGTTGTTGTTTTGCATTCTTTATTTTGCCCTAGATGGAGTACTGATGCAACAAAATATATTCCTTTCAAATTAAAATGGCCATTTTGCAAGAGAAAACGAGATAGATGGGCGGCAGTTATATGAGTGTGTTCTGTTGAGTGCATTTCCCGCTGATACTAAATTATGAATGATAACTAAATTATGAATGATAACGTTTTAGCTCCGCCAACGCTTTGAACTTGAAACAGTAAGAAAATTGCGACCTTTTCTCTTTGGTCAGGCCCGGACCTGATTGGCTAGGATCGCTGTGACGTCATCCCATTACGTGGAGCTGTGTTGCTGCTGCAGTGAGCTACACGGTGGTTTGTGCACTCGGTGATATGATTATCTTAACCGATTCTCGACCATTGCGTCAGACACGGCTCCGAGCTACGGTCTATGTAAAGTTTTTTTTTTATTGTTCGGTGCTGTCATCACAGCTGCATATTCGGTCGCA